ACAAGTCTTCAAAATTTTGCTAACTGTATTTATTATTAGTATTATTATTATTATTATTTATTTATTTATTTATCATTATTATTTGATTTAAAGTCTAATAAATTTAAAAAAGTATATAAAAATGAAAATCAATCCTGTAAGATAGTAAACTTTTCTTATACATTTTATCAATTTGATTTTTGTATAGTAGTTATTACAAAAAAAACTTGTGTCTTTTAGCAATAAGCAAAAACAATAGTAAAGTTACAAATAATTTCACAAATAAAAAGGCATTATTATTATTATTATTATTATTGCACTCATTTTTTTTCTTTTTTGGCTAGAGTTAAGATTTATAAGTTTGACTATTATGCATAGAGTTCATCTTATATATATTGTTACAGTTGAATACATGTACATGAGCAAAATTTTGATAATATATATGTTAGTAGTGTATATAAAATTAATTCTTATTCATGGGGAATAAAATGCATAATTTTGAGGTTGGACGGGATAATTTGTGACTACTCCAAAGTTCAGGGAACAAAGAGTGATTTCTTGAAAATTTACCTTGCTACTAATGAGAGTCTATAACACTAAACCACCAAACAAAACAGAACCAGAAAAGGGGGTTCTGCCTCAGTTTGTCTGCTCTGATCACTTCTCCGCTGATCCCAAATTCTTCATCAATAGCAAGAAGAATAATAGGTTCCGCTTCCCAAACGGATCAAGAATCAAAATTCCTTGGCCCTTTTCCTCTCCCTCCCGAATTCTATCCATTCATTTAGTTTATGCAAAATTGAATAGTTAGCAGACCGGAGGCGGAGGGGTCGAAAATGGGGTGCAACCAATCAAGGATCGAGAACGAAGAAACCGTAACACGATGCAAAGAACGAAAGCAGTATATGAAAGATGCCGTCGCTGCAAGAAACGCTTTTGCCGCTGCCCATTCAGCCTACGCCATGGCCTTAAAGAACACCGGAGCTGCTCTCAGCGATTATGCTCACGGCGAAGTCCAATATCCCTCCTCTCCTTCCTCATCCGTCCATGGCGGACCCGCCTCTCTCCCACAGCCCCCCGTCGAGCATCTTCCCCCTCCTCCCCCTCCCCTTCCCCCCTTTCACCAGCCTCCCCCTCCCCCTATTCAGCGTGCGGCCTCCATGCCCGAGATGTCTTTCCCCAAACGCGATTTGAAGCACTCCGACCCGATTTTGGAAGAGGAGAATGAAGATGAGATGGAAACCGAGAGTAATCATGGCGGGTTGAAGCATCGGAGTAGTAAAAGTAGCGGTGGGGTTGGAAGTAGGAGTGGAATTGGGCGCAGTAGTGAGGTCGTGGATGATGAAGAATTGCGGAATCCGCCATCGCCGCCTCGACCGTCGCCGCCTTCGCCGCCTTTGAAGCAGAATCGTTCCCCTCCCCCTCCTCCTCCGCCGGAGCATAAAGGTATGACTTCGTGGGATTTCTTTTTTCCGCCAATGGAGAATGTTCCGGGGCCGACTCTGGCTGAAGTGGATGAGGGGAGAGTGGAGAGGGAGGAATTGGAACGCAAGGTGTTAGAAGAAAGGGCTAAAAGAAGTGAAATTGATGCTGAAGGCGGCATTGGTGGCGGGGATGGAGGTGGTGGTAGTGGTAGTGGTAGTGTTGGAGGTAGGAGGAGTGCTGGTGGGAAGGCGGAGTCAGTTGAGGAAGTGGAAAAGGCGCCGGAGCTACCACCGCAGCCACCTCAGGTAGCCCCTCCTCCAAAGGTGGTGAAGAGAGTTAAACAGATTGTTCCAGCTGATGCTAAAAGGAGGGTTGGGTCAAGTGTGAACTTGCTGCAGATGTTCAGTGAATTGGATGATTGTTTTCTTAAGGCTTCAGAGAGTGCTCATGAGGTATCCAAGATGCTTGAGGCGGCTCGGTTGCATTATCACTCAAATTTTGCTGATAATAGAGGTATGCATATATTTTGGTTTCTTTTAATCTATTTTTTATGAGGGATTTCAAGGATTCAATTTTTGTATCAGCTAGTTTTCTGTAATTGTTTCTAAAGATTTAATTTTGATACGTGTTTCACCATTATAGAGCGATGCTAAGGTCTATGGTTTGCAGCTTCATTTATCCAACGCATGTCATTGCATAAGTGACCATAGTCATGTATATCCCTGTATTGACACCAGAAATTGATATGCTGCAGTTAATTTGTAAAATGTTTAGGGCAGGAGAAACTGCAGTTGGTTGACTTCGTGTTCTGATTGTTTGTCATGTTGCAAACCAAGTTGCGCACTTGCTCTGTGTTATTGGGAGTTAAGAAAGGTGATTGAAATTTTAGGCTGATAATATAACTAGTTGTGATTGTTTTGTAGGACATATTGATCATTCTGCCAGGGTCATGCGTGTCATTACATGGAATAGGTCCTTCAGAGGTTCGTCAAATGTTGATGATGTGAAGGATGACTTCGATTCGGAAGAGCATGAAACCCATGCAACAGTTTTAGACAAGATGCTTGCCTGGGAGAAAAAATTATATGATGAAGTAAAAGTATGTGGGGTGACATTTTTTAATCATTTTGCCTTGTATTTTTCCTTCTTGTTTTGTCATTCAATATGTTCGATTTGCTAAAGCAATGAGTTGCTTAGGTTTAATTTGATTAGCTTTCTTTCTTATACTGCTGCTGCTGCCTTTTCTTGTTTGTACCTTTTCCCTCCACCCAATTTTTAGTTAATATATATCTGATTCATTTTTCTTCCATTTGTGACCATAATACATGTTGTGCATGTGGACTTTTCTCTCATTTGTCACATTAGTATGTAATAAGAGTACAAATCTTAGATGCTTCCTCCTAATGAATTATTGTTGCACCGATGATGTTCTTCAGGCAGGTGAACAAATGAAACTGGAATATCAACGAAAGGTTGCTTCATTGACTAAACTAAAGAAACGTGACTCAAATACAGAAGCTTTAGAGAGAATGAAAGCAGCTGTTAGTCACTTGCATACTCGATACATTGTTGACATGCAATCTATGGATTCAACTGTTTCAGAAATAAATCGTTTGCGTGATGATCAGCTGTATCCAAAACTCGTGGCTCTTGTTGATGGGTAAGTGTTTATGCAGATAAACGTATTTATGCCTTGCAGTTAGCAGTTTTTACCTTTGCTTTTTTGGAAATTTGTTCTCTACTTCTCTGTCCTGTCATCTTTTGTCCCATCAAATGAAGCTAGTAGTGACTGTTTATAGGGACCATACCTCAGACAGTAAGAGAATAATTGTGAGGGGATATGGGAATAAAGGGAGGGGAAAGATCAGCTGTCTTGACTTTTGTACAAGGAATGGAAACTTCGCACAGAGATTGGTAGAGTGCAGTTTTGACTCAATGTCATGTTAGAAGTTTCATTTTGAGTTAACCCCAATAAATTGCAAGTGAATATAACCATTTCATTCGGCAAGTCAGAAACAACAGATTACCACATGTGAGAATAGAGGAGCTGATAGTTAGTGTCTGCTTATCTGGAGAAGTTCTTGGAGCTCACTTTTAGAGCATTGTTCACGAACCTGGAACCCTGGAATCTTCTTTTGAACTCTGATTTATTAATTTGTTTACTACACATGGTATATAATTTCCTTAGTCACTTCTTATGCTTGCTTTGTCTAATTCTATGCACTTCTTTGCTGGTTTTGAATGAATTGTAGAATGGTTTTTATGTGGGAGAGCATGAGAGGACACCATGAAAGCCAGTCTAAGATTGTACAAGCTCTAAGTTCTCTGCACATATCCCAATTCCCTAAAGAAACAAGTGAGCATCATCATGAACGGACATACCAGCTTTTGCATGTTGTCAAAGAATGGCATATGCAGTTTGACAAACTCATCAAGAACCAAAAGGACTACATAAGAGCGTTAAACAATTGGTTGAAGCTAAACCTCATTCCCATAGACACAAATCTGAAGGAGAAGGTTTCATCCCCACAAAGACCTGCCAATCCCCCAATTTGTGTGCTCTTACATGCTTGGCATGACTGGCTGGAGAAGGTTCCAGATGAGCTTGCTAGAAGTGCTATTAATAATTTTGCTCATGTTGTAGATCATATAATGGAGTATCAAATAGATGAGGTGAAATTGAGTGACAAGTGTAAGGATACTCGAAGGGAGCTCACCAAGAAAACCGAACAGTTCAATGATTGGTATCGTAAGTATATGCAGCGAAGAACGCCTCCTGATGAATTGGATCCAGAGAGGGCACAAGATAAGGATCTAATCGTTGAGAGGCAGATTCAGGTGGAAACACTCGAGAAGAAATTGGAAGAGGAAGAAGCAGAATACAAGAAGCAGTGCATTCAGGTTAGGGAGAAGTCTTTAGCCAATCTGAAAACCGGTTTGCCTAATCTCTTCCTGGCTATGTCAGGTTTTTCTCTTGCTTGTTCAGATATGTACAGGAACTTGAGGTCCATCTCACAAAAGCGTAGCAGACGCGAGAGTCAATAATGAAAGCAGTGTGTGACCTTATATGAAGCTCTTCATTAGCGGTTTCATTTTAGACCTGAAAAAGAGCACTTTTTAAAATGTATTTTCTGTATGTAAACTATAGTTGGATTTCCACTTTCAAAGCTCTTGAATATAAACCACATCAATGAGATTTAAGTTATATATACATTGTTAAAATGGAAGTGTTATAATTCAGTTGTTCCACTGTTGTATCAATCGACAGTTCCTCTGGAACTATCCGCTCCTCTGCGTGTTTGTTCGAGTCCCAATCTTCCTCTTTCTGTTCCGGTAAGGCCTAGTTTGGGGACTCAGCAGAGACGTGATGTTTGGTGTTACGTTGGTAGACGTGAAAAGTTTTATCCTGGGTTTGATCTTCTCTCTCGATGTCTGATTTCTTTCCAGAGTTCAAAGGAATTTTTGTGGCCTCACCATTATCCCAAATCACCTCATTACTAAATCTTTTCTTTTCTTTCCGTTTCTTCTCATCCAAATGAGCTGTCAAGTATCCATGTTTAGTATCCTATGTAGTATAAGTTTATTGGCTTTTTAAGTTCATCATCACCAAACAAAAATCAGATAATGTATCAAAATTAAAGTCTTATCAGTCAACAATGCCGAGTTTTGGCATGGCTCTTCAATACATCGATCAACAGCTTTCAATATTCAAAAGCAAGGGGTTGAAATAGATTGCTCCTCATGACAGCAGAAACAAAATAAATGTTACCGGGAGCAACAAAAAAAGGCTCTCCGACTCTGTGTGTTGCTTTGCAGACGTATTCCTGTTGGCTGCAATGGCGCAGCTTTTGCCAATTTTTTTGCTGCAGATGGCCAAAGAGAAAAAGCTCAGGCGAAGGTTTAGGAGGATTAGCTAAGCCTAAACTAGATTTACGATAACAAGTACATGGAAATGTTAATACATTTCATTAAGCTTTGGCAGGCTGAGCTTAGACATGATAACTCACCCATTTCATAAAAGAGCTCGTTGATATTAAGGGCAGTTTTTGCTGATGTTTCTGTGAAGAACATCCCATTTTCTTCTGAGAATTGCTCGCCTTCCTGCAGAAGTTTAAAAGTAATTCACAAGCTTTTACGTTCGAGATTATTATTATTATGTATCAAGCACCACCATTAGTTACAGTCAAGTAACAAATTTCCAAAGCTCTATGTGCCTGTAATGACCAAATTCAACTCAAGGTCGCTGCCTTTTATCAAACTGTTCTGCAGGATTGGAACAGGAAGAAAAGAAAAAATTATCAGTACCTCAAAGTTGACCTCCCTATTGGGTTCCAAATCTTGTTTATTTGCCACCAAAGCCATCACGAGATTCGGATTACCTGAAAGAAATACATGAAAGACAGTAGAAAACAAGCTACCAGATACACTTGCTTTTCGAGCAGCAATGGTTCTTCATTAACATCACCTAAAAAGGGTAAATAGAACTTGGCTGGGCTGGTTGGTGGAAGTTACATCATAATAATGGTAACACGAATTTGGATTAGAGAAATGACAACACGAAAACAAATTGAAATACAGATGGACTATCACTAATGGAAGAGATGTGTTCACCTTGTCTTTTTAATTCTTCGACCCACTTTTTTGCACGTAAAAAGGTGTCCTGAAGATAGATCATTCGAAATCAAATCCATGAGAAAGCTAAGCTAAGCTAACTACGTGGGGATTAAACATGCAAAGATAAATCTGTGCTAATTGCTTTCTAAGTATTACAATCAAAGAACAAAAGCGAAAAAAAAAAAAAGATCTCGTTCCAAGCAATCATCAGTGCTTCTCATTCTATGATTTGAAGAAATAACAGATGAAATGATGAGTAAGAGGCAATTTTAACCATAAACAGATGTTATAATCTGCTTCAGTAGCCCAGTTTTGGTTACAGGAACACTTACCATGCTTGTGATGTCATAGACAACAATGGCTGCTGCCGCACCCCGGTAATACATTGGAGCTAAGCTATGGTATCTTTCCTGTCCAGCAGTGTCCCATATATCAAATTTCAAAGTGGCCTCAGGCAAAGACAATATCTGAGTAAAGAAAGCAGCACCAACAGTGGGTTCCTGAAAAACAAAAATCATGTCAAGGTTCTTTGACTGCAATTGATGGAAGAAAAATACAACCCTCACCATCAAAAAAAACTTTGCATACCTGGTGCTGAAAAAATTGACCTTTTACAAATCTCAGGACCAAGCTGGTTTTTCCAGTTCCCATGTCCCCGACTAGTACCTGGGGAGATAAAACAACATGATATTACTGTTGACATTATATTCTCTCCAACACTTGCCCTGCTCTTGATTGTATCAAGCATCTCCTCGTCCTCCTTCCTCACAACATCAACTCCCTCTTACTGACCAAGCTGGGCAGACTCCTAAATTTTTTGTTTTCGGATTGTTCTTTCAGGAGGAAGTCGGTGAATGCTGGAGAGAACCAGCAAAGAAAGGAAAAGGATGGAGGAGATTCATCTTGGTTAGGGAAAGCAGAAACTAGCACCAAACCACTAAATGGAGAGACCACATAATCCTTAATATATAGCATTCACAATCCTCTTCCTTCTTGTAGTTTCTACGATTACTACCTCCTGCTCAAGTGCAAATACATCCACTGTTGTCAAAGGCTTGCATCCACCAGAACAACAATCAAGAATGCATCCACATCTTGAGTCTGTGGATATGATCTGCCATATAATAGCTTTTCGTGTCCAATGTTTGGGAGACTGTCCTTAGAACTTTACAAAGTACTAATACACAAATAGACACTGGAGTGACAAAGCAAACATCAATAACTTGCTCTGAAAATCTAATTGACGTGTTAAAATTATCATGAAGCAAAATGCACAACGCCAAATTCCAATCCACATCACCAAGTTCCGACTGATCACCGCTTCTTGATCAGCTTAGCTCAATTAGCTACACAAGCAGTAGGAGAATCTTGGTACTAAAACAATGGAGTCAATTCATGAATAGGGAGATTGTTTGTCCCTTAAGAAAGGTACCTACTACGTCATTTTAGGAAAACAGTCCACCACAGCTTAGTGGATCACAGAAAATCTAACCTCAGGTTTGCATTTAATAGTGCATTCTAGCTTAAATTGGACGAGATATTTTCAATGAGGGGCTTGAGCGGCTTAGAAGCCAAGCATTCACTCCTCAAAGAAACAAAATATGATTTTACAATAAACTACCAAGAATCCACACAAATACCCCACAAAAATTAGAGAGAGATATTTGGATCAGCCAAAAGATTATGAACAAACTAGCCTTACAGATCAAAAGTCACTTTAAGAAGGACGCACTCACCATCTTGGCATGGATGATCTTGTTGCCAGGTCTTGCCATTATAGATTTGATCTTTCTTTTTCGATGGAAATGTTACTATCAACCAATGAACCAGTAAATGTTATGTACTCTTGCAGTTGTTTGATGCTTTGAGTCATAGTGTAACACATGAAATATTACGCTCTGAAAACTGCAATGAGACCAAGTATGAAGATAGAATTGAGAATGGTAGGTTTGAAGCAATGCGGCATTAACTAGTTTGACTGACCGTTAGCATTATCATAGGATTTGACTGACTTTGGGTGCTCAGCTCATTTCCAATTTAGGCTCTTTTTCCAGAAACTGAACAGAAACTATTAGTAAAGCATTTTTTGCCTCTGCTCCCACAGCTCAAGTGACCCTGAGTTGTCTCCTAATCTAGTCTCCTCTTGCAACACTATTGCTAACTTGTGTTCCAGTTTGTTCAATGCACTGAAGAACCCCAACATCAAAATGAATGGTTCTTGAGATACAAAGCTCTAAAACATCATTCATATGCCCCCAAAGATTATAGCATCATACGAGTCCAAGTAAGTAATCTTTACCGGTTACGCTCTCAAACGAATGTAACATAAGCATTTGTGATTATTTAAGCAGGAGATCAATTTTTCACACTTACTTCTGAAAATAGTAATCTTTTTTTTTTTTTGTATTGAATATTAAAAAGAAAAATATTTTACTTTCTGAACCACAAAGCCTATTTTGCCGAGTCAAAATTCAAACAACTCCAACAGATGCAATAATTGCCCTGCACAATTCATCACCTCTTAGTTGTCAAGCAATCAACTCACCCCCAAATAGTCTGAGAGGATAATTTATAGTTTATTATTGGAAAAAAATCTTAGGTAACGAATTCTTATTTTATTTTTATTTTACTTTTTTGTTACCCCTGGGAAAATTTTTGAATGGGGGATCCCTTCTTATCCTATGATCGCGGGCATTTAGTTCGCGTCTTGGAATCGAATTCGAATTCGAATTCAATATCATTCATCTTGGATTTTGAATGAGATTTCGCATGAGATCAATCATTCTAATATATCTGTTTGATTTAGTATTTGGGACGTATATCATTATTATATTTGATGTTTGAATTGCTGATTTTTTGGAAATGGGATACGATAAATTTTCAACTTTACCCAAAGTCTAAAGTCTATCATCCAGTTACAAATTTGAAATCTTAAATGTGAGCACGTCGTATGTATGGTACAAAGTCTTCTGTGATCGAGAAGAGTGTGGATAGAAAGGATAGAGTGTGTTCTTGTTAAGTTAAGATAGGAATGGATTTGGACTTTGTCCAAGACCCTCCAACTACTTGGGGGTTTTGGGGAATTCTAAGATTTTAAGAAATAATTCCAAAATTTTCATTCCAATAATATTAATCTAAACAATCAATATAGGGTTCATTCCAGATCATGATTCCGAAACCCTTGTACCAAATGCGACCATAGTTACTGGACTAACCCTCACATTTATAAAATTATCTTGTCGTAGAAATTTTTTTTTTTTGGGAAAGCACTAGTGTCAAAATAAAAACAAGGTAAAAAGTCATAATCTGGACAAAGTTCATCCAACAATGGCCCACATCACCTGACAGACCATTGGTATTACTCCACACTGAGACCTGAGTCCCCCGCTATATCTCCGGCCACGCTTCCTCCTCCCTCCCTCTGTTTCCGCATTCCCACACGCAACCCCGAAAGTCCCACCAAACTATGACTTCCTCAAAACGCTCCGACGACGCTCCTCCGTCGCCCCGCATTCCACAATCTTACTACCAACAACTCCCGTCGGACCCCCACCAGCAACCCCAACAACCTCAATACATCGTTCTTTTACCCCGTTACTACAACAACCGCAGCCCTCGGTTACACCTCAGCCGCACTTGGCGACGCTGTTTGATCTGCCTACTCACTCTCGTCCTCCTCGGTCTAGCCGTCTTCCTCCTGTGGCCATCCGACCCGGAGGTCTCCATCGTCCGTCTCCGCCTCGATCACTTACGCATCCACCTATTTCCCAAAGCCTCCCTCGACATAACCCTAGACGTCACTGTCCAGATTCGGAACAGAGATTTTTTCTCCATTGACTATAAATCCCTTATTGTTGCGATCGGGTACCGCGGGAAGCAGCTAGGCTACGCCACCTCGGATCACGGCCATATTAAAGCTAGAGGTTCGTCGTATGTTAATGCTACGGTTCACCTGAGCGGCGTCAACATTTTGTCGGATATGCTTATGTTAATTGAGGACTTAGCTACGGGAGAGATAACGTTCGATACGGATACGAAAATTGGTGGCCAGCTCGGCCTCGCCTTCTTTGAGATTCCTCTCCAGGTCAGTTTTTTTGCTTTTAACTCAGTACATTTTACTTCCTGGTTTTTTGTGGCAAAATTTTATTTTATTTTTATAAAAAAAATAATAAATTGAATGGTTTATTCTGCCTCTGTTTAGTATGTGAATGCTTCTTCTGTTACAAGATTTGTCTGAGACTTTACTGGGCAAGTTTTACGGATTTTGAGCTCCTAGCTTTGGACTAAAATGTTTAAGTCGAGAAGCATAGCAAGTAGAGGATGTATTCTGTGAAAATGCCTGCCATGCGGGAAATAATAATCGAATCTGCTTCGTAGGTTGATAAGTTGGATTGGCGTAGCTGGGTGATTAGTTGAATTGTCGATAGGTGGAGATATAGATCAGGGAAAGTCTAAAACCTTGTTTGGTTTGAGTGCATTTGTTGGAAATTTTCCTCCTGTACTTATGCCAAACTCTCTGAACGCTATTTGAGACCGTTCCTTATGCTTCTTTGAGTGTATCTGCAGTGAAAATTGAAACAAAGAGAATCAACTTCCCCCGTAGTATGCTCTGGTTACCAGCCAAACAGACGTTGGGTTCTTGTAAGTCTATTAATGTATAAGCAAGAACACTAATTACTGATATAACCGGTATAACTTGCTGCAAATTGTGAACAAGTAAAGTAGTAGTTAGAAGTTTTTAAAGTTCCTATAAACAGAAATGAGTTTTGGCTGGTAAGCATCCGTGCATGCACTAAACAGAAGCAGGTTTTTGAGTATTGTTAGGTACTAGCATATGGACTCTTTCGTCCATGCCAGCATCCAGACATTCTGAAATGCAATCTATGATGCTCGGTGAAACTTCATTCGTGTCTTGTGGGAATCGTATCTAAAATGAGAAAGCATCATCTGTTAAGCTCCCTTGGGCCTTCTTTTGTATTGTTCACAATTTGTATAGAGAAAATCTTGTATACATTGACGTTGTATATGTTATCATGGTTAGATGCATAAAACATATGCAAAATTTGGATTTGAAGTTCAAATTTAGATTTTTTGCCGTGCATCCAAACTTGGCAGTATATAAAGATTAATCCTTTTGTTTAATGTACATTGCTTGTCAATTTTGACAGAAGTATATGTCCAATAATGCCTTCACAGAACACGTCTATTTTAAGTTGCGTGGGGTGGGCTGGCTCTGGCTGGTCCTCCTATTCTTCTGTTACCGAAGCATAACACCCAAGGAAGACGTAACAAATGGGACTTCATGATTAGCCTTTTCATGCTTCCCCAGATGATATGTGCCCCTGATTTATGATGTGCTTGCTTATGGTGTTCTGCAGGGGAAAGTGTCATGTGAGGTTAATGTAAATATCCACAATCAGACAATCGAGCACCAAAACTGTTACCCTGAGGTAAGCATCCAGTGTGTGTTAATCGCCTCTGCATTTGTTCTTTCATTATAGTTGCTGTTAAGGAAACGGATAGCTACCTGAGGTCTAATGCAGCCTGGTGTAGCAGAACTGTGAAAGATTTATTTGTAGATTTACTGAGTGGCCCTTTCCCGGTATGGCATCACTAACTCTTCTACTCTTTGGGCAGTGATTATGATTAAGCTTGGAGACCACATGCAGCGGCTCCAGAGTTGGCTTTGACAAACTCCCGTTCCTCATTTAGTATAGAGGTCTACGATGAGTGAGAGATTTGGGTTTGGATCCCCTGTTTTAGCGTCTTTACTACTAGATTATGGCGTATTACATTCCCTACAGCTACGGGGAAAAAAAAAATTAAGGATGATGCTGCAGCATATGTATCACGTATAAACTACGTTGGATTTGCCTGTATATAAACCTTGTGTAGACTAGCAGTGTATAATTTCTAATAGAAACCACCAGTTTGTCTAGCGTACTTTTTCCCTCTTCAAATTTCCTCGCGGCTTTTCGATTGTATGTTCCTTATAATTCAACTATTTTGGCCGGCAATTAGTGACGCAGACCTCTGATCGTAACATGGGCGGGTTGGAAGAGGTGAAAAGAAGTCTCAATTTGCCTTGTAGTACAATTTCTCGGTGGCGTTCGTTAAGCTTCAGAATGTAGTAGCATTAGAAGGTGGAGAGAAATTACATGGCACTGTTAATTGTACCTTGTACAATGGATCATCTTGAATCAACAGGACGGGTGGGTGGGTGGGTAGCCCGTTGGATGACAGACAGACAGGAAAAGTTAAGTACTATAACTGTTCTGGGGTCCCAGCCGACCAACCCACTGATACTCTGTACGATGGTGCCTGCACCTAAACGAACCCGGGTGGCGCGTTGGTGAACACAAACACTGTTTCACCGCACCTGCATCAGCAACCTCTCCGCCTCTATCAGCGCCAACTGTTGCGTGCTGGTGCAGCTGCTGATGCGGCCTCATCTCCGCAGCTGCCGTTCCCACAGGAGAAACCACGTGCCTGCGGAGGCTTCCTCGACGGTGGAAAGGATCAATGAATTGCAAGCCTGGGGTAGCACATGTTTTCTTCTTTCTTTCCCAGGAACAAATGATTAGGGAGCAGCGTCGGTTACAACTACAAGAGGGGCTAAGGAGGAGAATAATTAAAGGGAGGACGCGAAGAAAAGGTTGGAATAAGTAGCAGAAGGAGCAGCAGTAGTATTAGTTAGTATATGACGACATTTTCGGAAAGGGATTGCTTTTTCTATTCCCGTAGGCCTTAGCCTTTTTGCTTTGGATGATTGCAACGGCAGCAGTGGCAGTGGGGCGCACGCTCTATAATTTTGGTAGAATCTTGTGGGAGTTGTCTTCATGAAATGAACTCGTAAAAAAGTAGTAGTAACACTTGGCCTGGAATCGGAAGATGTGGCGACGCGCCAACAGAAGGTTCTAACCACAAACAATACAATGGATTCAACAATCAGAAGGGTTTCTCGATGGAAGGAAGAATCAGTAGTGAATGAGTCTGATTTATCCGAAGAAAAAATAGAAAAAGTTATGAACATCTATCTCTTAACTATATATTCATTACTTTGCCAGCCCAATCTCCCAATTAAAAGTTGAATTAGTTTCTTAATCTTATTCATAAATTTTAGTCATAAAATAGACGCCAATGCGGTTCTCGGTTACAATAGAGAGTACCGATATACAGTTATGTCATCAACTCTCAAAATCACTCTAAATTTACAGTGATGCTATTATTTACAGTGTCCTCCCGATCAACAAGATAGAATATATATATAGAAACACCATTTTTATATTATCTCCTCCTGCGATCAACTTTTCATTCGTTTCGGTACAGGAGCACTCGGAATGTGGGCAATATCAGGGTCTCTAAGCAAATATTTGAGATTCGTTGACAATAAAAATAAACTATGAAAGTGGAATTCAAGAGAGAAAAAAAAGAGGAAGTAGGAGAACAAAAGAAGGCCATCACTTTCTTTTTATCTTATCTATTTACCTTGTGGTTGTCCATCTGTTAATATTCATGTATGGTAATAAATCTTTTCTTTTAAAATGTGGGTGGAAGGCTTCGAATTCAGAACATTTCATTTATACTCTCTCCCCTCTTCCTCCTCCGTAACACTCAACTCATCCCTTCCCCCATAAATCCTATGGTTGAAGATAGACAGAGCATTAACAATCACTTTTATTTTAGATTTTAGATAATCAAGTGATCCAATCCAATCCCATAAAGCCTCTTCAATACAATAGCCAGTCCTCTTTAGCTACTAGAATTAAAACATCCGTACATCGTTATTTTTTCAGTTTAATTGCATGATAAATGGAGATCCATGAACTTTGATGACGCCTGACCGATGTATAAGGTAAACATCTTAAATGTGTCCACCAAATCCTAGAAAGTTTACTCTGATTATCTCACATGCCCCATTTCTCACTTCCTTGTTGGACCATGTTACTACATTACGCAATGACACATAGACCACCCCAAGTAATATAATATTCATCCACACTAGAGCTAAAATATTGATGCACCATTTGGTCAATTATATATAGTCCCCTTCCTTGCATTTACGCTCCGTGCCTAGGCAAACCAACCATAAATCCCTGAGGTCCAGAGAGGAGACCATTCACAGTGGTCATGGACATGGGAGCACGGTGCAGCTCGGGCAATGGTGAAGTGTGCTGCTGCTGTTGGAGCCGAAGTTTTTCCAGCAGAAATTATGATCGATTTGTGTCCCATATAATAAGACCAAGCAGCGGATCAAAAGCACCAATTTGGAGACAGTTGTGGACGAAGATGAAGAAGGAGAAGAAAAGAACGTTCTACCGTTCGACTTCAACGAGGTTTGCTTATGATCCATACACTTATTCTCAAAACTTCGATCAGGGGTTGACTTGGGCTGATCCTGATGACATCTCCAGATCATTTTCTGCTCGGTTTGCCGTTCCTTCAAGGATCTTTGATGACAAAGATGTATTAGATGTTTGAAAATTTGAAGGGAGTGAAGGAGTCCTTGATGATGTTCTATCACTGGACTCCATGTTTAGTTGTAATGATGTTCATTTGAGGTTGACAATCTTGAATCAAGGCATTCTTTCTTCCTACAGTTCTTTGAATATCTTCTTCTTCTACCCACTCCTGTTCCCATGCCGCTCTCTAACATGATGGGATTATGGAATAATAATGATGCAGAGGATCTATGGCTAGAAAGTGACTTGTGCAACTAATTGATGGATTAAGCTTTTAAGCACTGAAATTTCTTTTATATATATGTTCGTTACAGATTCATCATGTTATTGCAAATATATTCACTAATACATGCTTGAATTATAGAATTTTCTCCATTCACAAGTGCGTGTAAAATTAATATGCATTGAAATCAAGTCTTAATAACTTCAATGTAATGTCAAAGGGCAAAAAATATGAATGGGTATTAGTCATCAATATGCAAGTGAATGAAAGCGTGAACGAAGTGCAAGGTCAATCCTTGCTTGCTGCATAAATTAGCATTTCTACTTGATGTGCAAGCCCCACTCATCACGAGGAGAGACTAGCATTTGATGCTATCGCGTCTTTTATGGTTTCCTGTATTCTTTCTTGATTGGTGTGATGAAGATGCCTTCCATGTTTCAAGTCCACAGTCCACCCTCGTTGTGTTGACTTTTGGAGATTGAAGTTCGAGCCGCCCGTCAATGGCAGCAAAAGGAAGCTGCATGATCTAGTAGTTTCTTTTTATTTTCTTCTTGATACAAAGTGCGTAGCTAATTCGTTGAATATTGAGGATTAGTCAGTAAATCACACCAAGCACAGTAGTTAGTTTTCACGATATTCCCATAAATATTTGTTTAATATCATACATAATTGTTAGGTAATTCAAACAGAAACTTTTGCCCATGTTTCTGTGCTCATAGTAGTAGTATTGAACTTTTGAGAGAAGCAATTATAAGGTAGCTCGGACGGTTCGTTCCCCCTCTTTAGGGTATGGCAACCTACCTTGCTTCGATCAGGGTTCGAGTCCCGTTGTTGACTTGTTCGGTGTGGAGTGGGGCCTTCTCTCCCGGACCGCAGTAAAAATTAGTCGAAGTCCCGTAAGGATTGATCCGGATACCTCATGTGTTGTTGACCAAAAAAAAAAAATTAATAGTATTATTACTTCTTGTAGTAGCGTTTGTTTATGGGGTAGGTCGCATTATAAATAAAGGAGGTAGGGAGCAAAGACAAGATGGAATGAATGAATTCCGGCGATGCTTTTGACTATGAACAACGCACAATATTTTTTTATTTAACATCTTGGTCAGAAATTTAACAACAATTGGTCCAAATAATCAGCATCTACTTGATTGCTCACCATTTGCAGGAAGTTGGGGAGTCAGGCCTGAAATTGTTTTTCTACCTTTCTAATCGATCGATGCTACAATTATTTTTCCCTGTTTGTCAACCATCATTAATCTTTAAAGCTTCATACATACACACAGCCAATCCAGAGAAAAGGGTTGAATTTCGAAGCACTTTATCTCAAAGCTTCATCCTAGCCACTCCTACGCAAGATGAACACAGAATAAAGTAACTCGTTAAATCAATGTGAAGTCAAAGACACCGGCAACAAGGGATCGAGAAAATTCAGCTGATCCTGTTTTCTAAAGTGTCAAACTAGTGTCCCCTATGGGCTTGGCACTATCTGTCCTGTACACAGGGTAGGGGAGTGATTTTCCTCCTAATAATAATGGTTCTTGGACGGAGGCAGGCCGAACTTTTTTTAAAAAAAAATAATAATAATAATTTGGGGCATGTTTTCTATATCTGATTCGCGTAATCTTGAAATTTCTTTATTTGGGGGTAAAAAAACAAAAAACTATAATTGCATCTGTAATAGCTAAGCACTACTATGGACCATGTTCTTGGTAATCAGGATCCAGATATGATAGATAAACAAATAGCTACTTGTTACTACTTAATCAGGGCAGTCAAGCTTCAAGAGTTGATTAATTCCCTGAGTTGGTTTCAAGCGTTGTCGGCTTTTGGAGTTCAATCTGGGATTAGGTTTAATTAATCAACAAAAGTCTATTACTGGAATTGAAAAAATTAGGGCAGTCAAGCATTACTACTCATCTAATTAACTTTCTTATCGTATTTCATATTAGAAGCCACACATAGCCACATTTTCACAAAACTGTAGAAAATCATAATATCACCCTTTGAAGAGATTTTAGATTATAACTTGACATACAAATGATGATTTAACAGTTGCCTTTCTTTCTTGCTTTCTTATTTTTTTTTTGGAAAAAAAAAATTCTTTGGTTTGTAAACCAAGAAGAAGAGGAAAAATGTAGCAATCGAGCGTGACCACCAATATTACAAAATGAAATTGATGGGGCACACCCTTTGTTTTCAGAGAGGGAAGCCTTTCTGCCTATTCTTCCAAGTTGGTCCCAGAATACATTCAATAGAAAACGAGTACTCAACAACTATACTGAACGCCCTTTTCCAATTTAAGAGCTGCAGCTTATCAAGGCAGGCAAGCAGGCAAACTCACGGCCATGAATCTGATTTCTAAACCATGATTTAGAAAGAAAAGAAAAAAAAATAAAAGACTTCGTACCTACCACAATTATGGCATTCAGTGAAGGATCTTGCATCTTGACTCCCCTCTCTCGAACGTTAGATGCACAAATAATGCATGCATTTTGATCTAAAAGACCGTACGTTGGACATCAGAGGTGCAAGAAATCTCTCCCCTACTGAACCTATTCCAGAATCCACTTAGTGGCTGGCTGGCTCACCTGAATGAGGGGCAACTGTAGGCTCTGCAGGAGATGCACAAAAAGTTACCCTGAAAATAAGGTAGACTAACTGCTTCATACAGACACTGATGATGAGATTCAACTGAAGCAGATTCACAAATTCTGTTTAACTTTCGGGATATGAGAAAATTGATAATAGAGCTAAGCACAGCGGCCATCATATATAATTGCTTCGAGCTAGCTACATGAAAGAAAAGCCACAGATGACAATGACTATGTAGAAACTGCAGTCTATGAAAATTGCACGGACAGTTTGATACAGCACCAGACCCCATTCCAGGACCTTAATGGCTTCATCCCAGTGGATATTATGTCTATCACTTTCCAAAATTTTTGCTGCTTTCTTTTGCACGTCCATTTCTCCAGAGCCTCTCTGCTTTGCGGAGGATATTCGTAGAATCACTATCATCACATCAGTTAACAGAAGCACGTAAAGAGGTCTTGAGGCGATCAGGCTCTTTGATTTTACAATGTGGTGAGGAAGATTAGCATAAGCGATGACTACAAGCAGAGCTATCATGATGGAACAGAATACTCGCGTATCCTCTGAAGATATGATGCTGGAATTTATTTCTTTGGGAGTGAAAAAATTAAGAAGAGTTCCACCCCTTGACTCTCTCATGAACATCTTTGCGTGATCATCTGATGCTTTAGTCACTCTTGTATTAACAGCTGAGAGTTCTGCTTCATTTCTAAATGTGGCTTCTGAGTCTTGCATTTCTTCTGTATTTGCGTGATCATTCTGATGGTTGAATGCTTTCGTTCTGTTCTGAAGTCCATCATCTTTACTAACTCCATAACTCAGGTTGTGTTTCAATGGTAAACCAAGTGAATCAGCTTCACCTAAAAAACAAATTAACTTTTAGAAGATGACTGCTAAGCAGCCGCGCGTGGATGAGTTGAATGTTTGCCTTTCAGACGATATAACTAGTCTTTGTGAACAAAATACAGCTAATTTTTTGCAAGGTAAATAATTTGAAAGACGATATCAATTCTATCAAGTAGTTGTGGGATTAGAAGTTTATAATTAAGGCTGACATTCCATATAACTAATGTGTGAACTGCAAATACAGCGACAGTCATTGCAGTATTGGCCATTCGATTCAGAGGCAATACAAACAAGAATATACCTGATCAATGATTCAAAGCTGATGCTTATGGCTAACTAGGATGGGCATTCATGAGATGAGAAGGGTTTTTGAATGACAGCACATTATAGAATTTCGTTTCTTAATGTTGCAACCAATTCTTTCAGCACCCATATTGCACGTTCATTCGTGCCACAAATAACAAATTAAGCCGTCAGGCAAAAAACACAACAATTAAAAGGAAGGTTTCAAGTAAAAATGTCTCATTGCCATCTTCAATTCTGAATCACAATATTTATTTGCTTCAATACTGTTTTTAAGTATGTAGTTCTAATATCCCAAGAGGAAAGGGAGTGGAATGCTGCAAAGCCAGGAACCTTAATAATATTTTGCCACTCGAGCCAGCATTTACTCTCGATATCACATTACTAAGTAATTGGTGATAGGATGTCTAATGGTCTGTGTGGATGAATATGATTCGGGGAAGGACAAGAAGATTTTCTGATTTTACAGGCACAGATATAGCACTAACTAAGGATGTTTATGTCTCTTGCGATATTCGTAAGTGACATGAAATTCGGACAACATGATGTGGCTGAAAATTTTCTAAGGGAAACTATATGACAAGAAAATGAGAATGAGAATGTACCACTCAAATGGGATTGCTTTGGAGATGGATAATGTCCTTGATCCTGAGAAATGGAGAGGCCATTACTGGCATGGGCAGCAACTGCTGGGGCTGAATGAATTCTTCTATGCGAAGTGTCATGATGGGGCTTGGGAGATGGAGATAAGGGCAGCGATTCCAGGTTTTGAATGCTACCAGTGATAAGTGCGAGTCTCTGAGACCCCCTCTCCACTATCCTCCTCCTCCTTTCTTCCTTCTCCATCTCTGTTTTTGTGGATCACTGCACCGGCTCTATTCTATGGCCCTTTCAGCCTTCAGGTTCACGGAACAAAAGCGGAGGAAGTTGTAATTGTCAACGGTCAACATTTCTTTGACACCATGCATTTCTCGTCATTCTTCCACCACGACACCGTTTCTACCGTGGTGCACTTTGCACTCTTTTTCACATGATATTTTTTTTTTATAGAGTTATTAGTCAAATAATGGCCAAGCTTTTGAAACATAAGCTCCTTTTCTTTTCTTTTTTTTGGGGCAGTGGCAAGAGCCTACTCAACTTATTAAAAAAACAGAAAAGAAAATGGTGAAGTAGACCAATATATGCACGCACGCATCTTTCACAAACAATAATTGCAAAATTTTCATAATAAAATTCAATAAAAACATGAATAAAATCATGAAGAACGAGCGTACAGTTTGAAGAGCTTGAATGACTTTTTCCATGTAAACGAGCTGGCAATCGTATGCCTCGTATGGAAAGTCCACATTGATCCCTCTTAAGTTGTATGTTGGCATCTTCTCCTTGTATGGACTAATCTCTGATCAGAAGAATTTTTCAGAGAGGATGATAATAAACCCTAGGAAACAATTTCTACACTGAGAATTTCCCGCCATTCTTGCAGGCTGTTGTGAAGCTCTGGGTCGGGTTTCAATAAGCCCACGAAAATGTTAAGCTTTACTGTTAACAGATCAAACGCAAATTGAAAACCATCTCGTTTGGATTATAAGTGCTTTTTGGCCTATTTCCTATGGCCCAACTCTTTAGATATCATCAAAATTCTACGCACTGCCAATTTCACAATTTGAATTTTGAATCTAGATAATTAGAGATAGAAAAGATACAAGAAAGAGTGGAAAGCAAAAGAAAAATAAAGCATTAAAAAAAGAAGAAAAAAAAGGCTAACTACTCCTATTAGATATATTCCCCAGCATCCATGCCTAGGCAAGTCAAGTTAGCCTAAGAACCCAACAAAGTGGGTGTGGAAATTATCATGATGATGTTCTTGCTCCGACTCTTGACAAATCAAAGTTTGTCTCCCATATAAGTATCTCGAAGTTTCCTTTTTTTTTTAATTCATCACAGTATTTGTCGTTTTGTTCTTTATGTATAACTTCAGAAAAGCATTAAGTTCAATTTTAAATATCCTTGAATTTTAATCGAATTAAATCATAGGGCACACTACAGTATTTCAGCATTTTCTAAACTAGTCAGCTGTTATTTTATTTCTTTAGTTGCAAATCATGTGATAGAATTATTACGCATTTAATCTATTAAAAACCTAATTGCCATTTTAAGAACTGAATAAAGGAATTCTTTAATTTTCTTACCGAAACAAAAAAAATTAAATGTCATTTGTGTATGCATCCATCCACACGTGAGAGCCGCATAGCGCAAAGAGTTGGAAACCCAGTAGCTTATGAGTTTATTGCAAGCAAGCCGTTTCTCGTTGATGCTTTACTGAGTTTATTTCCTAACCTGTGAGAGGAAATAGATGAGTACACTTCCTCTTTTCGATATACGTAATTGTGATCTAGGACAACAACATGGACGTTTTTCTTTTTTAAACAACATGGAAGTCTAAGTGCTTCAGGTGAGAAAGAAATCACTAGTGCATCGAACGTAGGGTTGCAAACGAGTCGAATCGAGTCGAATTTTATACTAATCGAGCCGAGTCTCGACTTTATTTTATCAAGCTCAAATTCGAGCTCTACTCAAATTTTAGTTGAGTCGAACTTGAGTTCAAGCTGGAAAAAATAGGAAAAAATAATTTATTTTATTTTTAAAAAATAAATAAAATAATAATTTTTTGTTAATAAATAATAAAATATTATGAATATATATGTAACTTCACTATTAAAATAAAACTAAAAAATATATATATTTACTCGAGCTTGCGAGCAGCTAACGAACTTAATATTTTGAACTCGAAATCAAGTTCAAGTTCGATTTGACTAACTCGAGTTCAAGTCGAGTTTTGACCCGAACTGTTCACGACGACGATTCGATTCGTTTACAACTCTAATCAAACGAAATTGTTTTATACTTCTTGTCATGGGATCAACTTGTGATCAAGGTAAACCTAATTTTAAAATAATAATAATAATAATAAAGGTAGTATAGCAGCGTGCGGAAAAAATTCCACAAGACAAAGGGCTTAGTTTTTTTTTTTTTTTGGAGAGCAAGAAAGAAGGATTTTGAAACCCAATTATATTCCGTTTGGAATAATTGTTTCTATGGGTATTTTTGAAATATTTTATGTAACAATGTATATAAAAAACTTTTACTATAAATGCTTTTGGTGATACTTTTGATGGTGTTTTTGAGATGTATTTTGGAGTATTTTTATAGTTTAAAAATTTTTAGAGTATTTTTAAAAAATTAAAAACTACCACCACCAACACCACTTCCTCTCTCTTCCCCCTCCCTCTATTTCTTCCTCTTCCTCATTCTTCATCCTCCTCTTCCCCTTTTCCACCACGTCCCACCTTTCCCTTCTCCCTCCGCTTCCTCAATTTGGTCTTGACCAAATCAAGGCATCTGGTTGCAACCAGATCTGGGGGAAGGGAATGGAGAGAGGTGGGGAAGGTGGATGTGACGGAAAATGGGAGAGAAAAGGGAGGGGAGGAGGAAAGAGAGGGAAGAGAGAGAAGGAGCAAGAATATAGAGAGAAAGAAAGGGAGGAGGAGAAAGGAGATGATGGCTGCGGCGGCGGCAGTCGATGTTAGTGGTAGATGGAATAAGAAAATTGCGTAGATTTTATTTTTTAAATTTTTTTTGTATATTTGGAATTATTTTTGATATATTGTATAGATGTGATATTTTTAAAGTTTTTTTGTTTCTATATTACTGTAGCATTGTAAATAAAAAACTTGTATTTCAAAAAATGAAGAATCCAAATAGTGCTTATGACTCCTATGATGAGTTATCCTATCAAGTCCTCTTTTGACAACGGTTTTACAACCTATAATTAAAGAGAAAGCCATACATTTCAAAAAGAGGATTTCCTTGTGCTAAAGGTCGGAGCTTTCTCTAAAGCACTTTATTACCGTGTGAGCTAATACAAATAGTTACGAATCAAACACTATCAAAATTAAAGCCCTGATTACTGCGCGAGATAATACAAATAGTTACAAATTGGATGCTATCAAAATTAATTATTATGAATAGAATAACACCCTTTTGTTATTTTATTGTCAAAAGTGGCAAAATTTATCTTGAATGGTCAGTTTTTTGGCAATTTTTTTTCTTCAATGTTTTAGTGTAAGTAGAAAGACTCGAATTTAAGATTTCTCACTTATACTTCCTCTCTTCCATTTTTAAAGTTGCTTTTGTTTCTATGTTACTGTAGAATTGTAAATAAAAAAATTGTATTTCAAAAAATGAAGAATCCAAATAATGCTTATAACTCCTAAAATGAGTTAATCCTATCAAGTCTTCTTTTGACAACGGTTTTACAGCCTCTAATCAAAGAGAAAGCCATACATTTCAAAAAGAGGATTTCTTCGTGCTGAAGGTCAGAGCTTTCTCTAAGCACTGATTACCGTGTGAGCTGATACAAATAGTCACGAATCAAACACTATCATAATTAAAGCCCTCGTTACTGTGCAAGATAATACAAATAGTTACAAATTGGATGTTATCAAAATTAATTATTAGGAATAGAATAACACCCCCTTGTTCTTTTATTGTCAAAAGTGGCAAAATTGTCTTGAATGGTCAATTTTTTGGCATTTTTTTTTCAAAATTTTAGTGTAAGTAGAAAGATTCAAATTCAAGATTTCTCACCGATACTCCTTCCCTTCCAACTACCCAAATTATCCCTCACCCAAACATATATTTTAACGAATTAAAATAACCAAAATTTTTAAATACGTACCTTAAAATACTCAAAAGCATGTATTTTTTTTTTAAAAAAATTCTTTTCTTCTTCTTTTTCTTTTACCCAACCCACCACCACGACTGTCGTTATCACACACCTCAAACTATCTAAAAACACAAAAAAAAAAAAATTCTTCCTTATTTTCTTCTTTTTCTTCCTTTCCCCACCTCAATCCACCGCCATCACTATCGCTGCTGATAGGTGCTGCTCTAGTTTTTTCCCTTTCTCTCTCCTTCCCACCTTTTCCTATTCATCTCTTTTTCTCTCTCTCTTCCCTTCCTCCTCTTCATATTCTCTTGCCCTTCATCTTTCTCCTTCCCCAGTCACTCCCTCTCCCTTATCCTCCCCTTCCCTTTGGTCATGCGATCCGACCAGATCTAGTGTAATGGAGAGGGGGATTTGAGGGGGATTTGAGGAGGGAAGTGAGAGAGAGAGGAACTGACGACGACGTTAAGACCGGTGAAAATAGTGGCGACTAGAGCAATGACGATAACAAGAAGGAAGGAGAAAAGAGGAAAGAAAAAAGAAAAGGAAAGAAATAAAAAAATTTTAATTTCTTCCAAAAAACCTTTCTCTACAAATATTTTGTTTACAATTTCTACAATAAGTTATAGTAAAATTTTATATAAACAACAAAAAAAACTCAACATCCAAAAAGGCCAGAGGTTGGGCTGCTTCGCTATTTTCATTCAGTTGGACCGGGACACATGATTGGTTAGGCCCGGCGTACTTCACAGTCCAGAAAAAGAGGAATTTACAAGTGAGATCAATTCCTACAGTGAAAGATGTTTCTAGAAGAAGAGCAGGAGGCCTAGACTAATCTGGACCGCTGACCAGCTCCCGAAAAACACACAACAAAAAGGTTGAGGGGTAAAGGGGAAAAAAAAAACCCAATTCCTTATTGTTATTCTCATATAAGCTCGAAATTTCCACACAAACCCCAGAATCGTCTCCCTCTTAAAAACCCCCATTCATATATAGATAGTTAGACACATCTCAGCCAATCCGTTTTGTTCTTTCCTTTATTGCATTTTTCTCTATTTATTGTTGTTTATAGCGAGAGGGCGCCTAACTCTTCGGAAGAGAATTCTAGAAGCCACTTCATTGTTCTCC